GTGGGAAGAGCCGGATTAATCATTTTTATGTTTTATTTTACCATAATATAAAAAAAGGAAATAGACTAGACATGATAGCACATTACCTATAATCCCAAAATTCAGGAAGTAGAGACAGGAGGATCACTACAAGTTTAAAACCAGGTTGTGTTACATAATTGAATTTGAACCAGCTTGTACATAGTGAGATCTGTCTCAAACTAAAAATGAGTAAATCAATAACACCCATCACAGAAAGAAAATAATTAAAGGAGAGTCCCAGCAGGTAAAGGCATTTGTTGTCAAAGCTAATGACCTCAAGATCGATCTTTGGCACCCACACGGTAGAACCAGAGAAGTGATTTCACAAGTTTGTCCTCTCATCTGCATAAGCTTGCCATGACTCAGACACACATGTAAAAGTAAGCGAATGTAATTAAGGACAGATAACCAGTAGACATAAAGATGGTCATCGTGATTAGTAATACAATTTAAAATCACAGGCATACATACTGATAATACTGCAAAGTCAGAAGGCCAGAGGAATACACTGGGTAGCCGATGTGCTCGTTAGACATGAGTATCCAAGTGTGGTTCCCAGCATCTGAGAGGCAAAGACAGACAAGAAGATCTCCAGGGCTTCCCTGCCAGGCAGCCAGCCTGCCCAGTGAGTGAGTGTCAGGTTCAGTGAGACCCTGTCTCAAAAAAGTAGAATAAAGCAGAGAAGCTATTGAGGAAAACACTCAACACACAGATAAATGTCCAGTATGTTTCAGGACATACACATGCTCCTAATGGGAGCATAAATGGGTCACCAAGCTTGGACAATAGTTTGATATAATCTGATGAAGGAACTGCCTAGAGTTATTCTTTAGACAAATGTTTGCACATATGGGCCAAGTTACAAGGGAAATGTCATAGTCGGGGCCAGCAAGATGGTTCCAAGGATAAAAGTACTCACTGCCAACCTGATGGCCCAAGTTTGATCCCTGGAACCTACATAGTAGGAGAGAACATATTCCCAAGACTTGTTCTCTGACCTCATGTGTAGGACACAAACACACACATATATAAATGAAATACCCTTTAAAATGTTTATGTTCAAAGGGAAGAAAATAAAAATTAAAAATAATGTTCAACCAAGTTTTATGGTGCAGGCCTGTAATGCCATCTACTTGAGAGGCTTGAGGCAGGAGGATCACAGTTTAGATGAGGACCTGTGTGGCCTAAAAAGTAAGTTTCAAGGCTTGATTGAGTAAGTTAGTGGGTTAGCAGTAGAATACTGGTCATATTTTTATAGTAGTCTAAAACTAAAACATCCCAAATATTTATCAACATTCAAGTAGATGCAAGCTCAGTGGTCCCAGCTATGGAAGCAAGCAGTGACAACCAGTGTGGGTGCCTGACACAGAGACACAAAACTCCGTGTTGTCTTCTCCTCCCTAGGGAGTATGTTTGCCCACTTTTCCCATCACGCCGCATTCCCTGGGCGTGACTAGTTTCTAGGTGGTGAGGAGTAGTCCTGACTGGCTAACATGTGAAAGAGTGTAGATATTCACTCACATCATGAATTGCCAAGATGGGAACAAAAAGTGATGTGAACAAAACTTCTTCCAAAGGTTTCATAGCAATCACCTCATACCAGTCAATAAAATTAGCCATTCTAGTCATCCATGGTATTCTTGGGTTCTATATACCATAACTCAGAATGGCAGTGTGCTAACTTGCCGTTGTGTCAGTAGCTTCGGTGGCTGCTGGAGGAATGGGAGGCTGGGTGTCCAGAAGGCTCACTGCTTTGTCACACCTACCTCTGGCCTCTCTACTATCTTGTCTTCGCACATTGTGGAGGCTATAGGTCAGTGGTTCTCAACCTTCCCAGTGCTACAACCTTTTAATACAATTCCTCATGTTGCACTGACTCCAACCATAGAATTCTTCTGATGCTACTTCATAACTAATTTTCCTACTGTTACCAATCATAAACATCTGATGGCATCCCCAAAGGGGTCGAAACCCACAGATTAAGAACTGCTGCTATAGAGCCTCCCAAGATCTCCCCCAAACACAGAGGCTTTGTTGTTTCCTTACACAGCCTCAAGTCCAAGAGGACAGTTAGGTGCCTATTGTTGCTTTAGAAGAGCACGTGGGCAGAAAGTGTTGCTGGGCTAAAGGAGGCAAGGTGGCAGACAACCTGTTGAACTGATTCCAGAAGGTGGGGGCTGCAAGGGAGCACTGAGTCAGAAGCTTGGATAGTGGAGGGGACCTTGCCAAAGATTGAGGACAGTAGCTGCTGCCAGCAGTATGAATGGCCAGTGAACATGAGGAAAGACAAAAACTACATTAAACATTGGGGAATAAAATTCCAGCAGGCTGGGCGGTGTGGGCGGTGGTGGCACACGCCTTTAATCCCAGCACTTGGGAGGCAGAGACGGGTGGATCTCTGAGTTCGAGGCCTGGTCTGTAGTGGCTTAGTTGCAGGATAGCCAGGACCACATAAAGAAAGCTGTCTCAAAAAATAAAAATTTAAAAAAATAAATAAAACCAGCAGATAATACCTTGCTACTTTAAAGCATACACATTGTTGAGGACATGGAGAGATTCATATGTTGCTGGTGGTTCTGTTTAGTTATACAGTCACTGTGGAATGTAGTTTGAGGCCTCCTCAAAGGCTGATAGTACTTCACATGACCCAGCAGTTTTGACTCCAAGGTTATAACCAAAGGAACTGAAAAAAGGAACTGCAGCAGATATTTATGCCAGTGTGTTCTGTAGATGAAGTGTGTCAGTGAACAAATGAGTAGACAAACTGGACTGTACATAAGGAGAACATTATTCAACCATAAAATGAAATGAAGTTCTGATTTGTGCTATACATGAATAACATGGGCAAAGCAGAATAAGCCAGCTGCAACAGGATAGTACTGGATGGCTCTACTTGTATTAAATACCTCAGTGTGTACATTCATCAAAGCAGGTTGAAACAGACATAGGCTAAAGCAGTGATTCTTAACCTTGCTAATGTTGTGACCCTTTATTGCAGTTCCTCAGGTTGTGCTAAGCCTCAACTATAAAATTATTTTGCTAGCCGGGCGGTGGTGGCGCATGCCTTCAATCCCAGCACTTGGGAGGCAGAGGCAGGCGGATTTCTGAGTTCGAGGCCAGCCTGGTCTACAGAGTGAGTTCCAGGACAGCCAGGACTACACAGAGAAACCCTGTCTCAAAAAACCAAAGGAAAATAAAATAAAATTATTTTGCTGCTACTTCATAACTAACTTTTCTACTATTGTGAATCATAACTTAAAATATATATCTATGTTCTTCATTGGTCTTGGGCGACCCCTGTGAAAGGGTCGTTTGATTCCCCAGGTTGAGAACCACTGGACTACAGGGAGAAAGAACGAGAAGCTATAGTTTAACAGTTAACAATATTTCAGCTAGGGCTATTGAGTTCTGGTGCTCGTTGTGGAACACTGGGTGTAATCAATGCTTTGGGGGCTACAGATGATCCAAATGCCAACATTGCTATTTATCTTGCCATCAGTTTTAAAAATTGATAGTGACATGCTAAAACTCCTTTGGGGCTTAAAATTGAAGTCATTGTATTTCTTGTGCCAAATTATATAATAGTTTGGGTTAGAAGATGAACATGTACAGATACCCCCTAAAACCCCACCCGCCCCTCAACACCCCTTTTCTAAGAAAAGCAAGGCCTAAAACACCAAAGGAGTCTGCATGGTTACCTAGCTCTGCCTTGACCAATGACCTTGCTCCAGCTCGACTAGGAGGCAGACAGGCCGAGACAGACTGAAGGCTGAGGGAGATGGTCCAGCACCAGCCAGAGTGAACATAGCACCATGAAATAGATGTCCTCCCTGGTCCTCAGACAGGAAAGATCCCTCTCTGCAACACAAGGATACCTCCATCACTGCTGTCCTTTCAGTGCAAGGTCTAATATACAAGGGAGAGTGCCCAGGTGAGCTACACCCCAGCAGTGGGAGGTAAGGCAGCCTGGGCCACATAGGAACACCCTACAGCCATTTATAATACAGCCAACCAACTAATGAGGATCCAGATATCAGAGTGAAGACAAAGACTTTAAAATAACCTCATGATGCAGAGTTCGTTGGACAATACTGTCAACCATGGAATGGAGTCTCAGCAGAGAAACATGTTTAAGAAGCAGTCTTGATCTGCATGGAGTTTGAGTCTCCTGTCTGAGGCAGAAGTGAGAGCTACAGAAACTTAGCTTTGGACTTTGATTCATATTCACTCCAGTCATTAGAAAATGACCACTGAGACAAAAAGTGAGTGAGTTACTCACTTCTGTTTATTCTGTGGATGGCCACTCAAGCTGTGTTGCGAGCATTAGGTTTTCTAAAGCAGCATGGTTTTTTGGTTTTTTTGGTTTTTTGGTTTTTTTTTTTTTGGTTTTTCGAGACAGGGTTTCTCTGTGTAGTCCTGGCTGTCCTGGAACTCACTCTGTAGACCAGGCTGGCCTCGAACTCAGAAATCCTCCTGCCTCTGCCTCCCAAGTGCTGGGATTGAAGGCGTGCGCCACCACCCCACCGCCCGGCTAGAGAAGCGTGTTTGTATTTGATGGTTTTCTATGTCCTAGCCTGATGCGTGGAGGTCAGGGACACTGGATTTATGCTTCAGTTGTCATGGTTCCTGCCCTTGCAAAGGCAATCAGTGCTTATCCATGATCACAGTTTTTAAAGAAGTTTAAGGATGGGAACTATCCAGTAGAATTAAGTGTACTGCCCTAAGATCACACTTGGTCTTCTATGCAGAGCAGCAGAGACACTGTGGGGCTGCAGGGAGAACGTTCAGAGATGCTGGCTCCAGAGACAGATCGCTTCGCTTGTAATCAGAAATTAAAGATTCAGCCCAGTGCTGTACAAACACAGGTTGTGTAGAAGCTGAGCTGCAGATATTCCAAACAGTGTAGCTACAGCAGTGGTGCTGGCAGCCATCTCTGAGCAGGAACTGTTTCAGGCGCAGGTCTTTCTTTCTGTGTTTTGTTAAGTAGAGAACACTTCACAAATTTGCATGTTGTCCTTGCACAAGGGGCCATGCTAAACTTCTCTGTATCATTCTAATTTTAGTACATAGTATGCCTAGGCAAGCACTCGGGTGCAGTTCGTTTCCCACCATTTTGAAGTGGGAGGTTTCTGTCTCCCAGGAAGGATGGACAACACTACTGTGCCCCTCAGCTGGCAGCCCCACTGTTCCTCTGTACTGCTGCCCTTTCCTGAAGCCTGCCTTGCTCTGCATCAGCAGCCAGTGTCAGCTTAACTAGTGAGAGCAGCCCCCAAACCACAAGCAGGTCTCTGAAAGCACCGGTGTCTAAACAGAAAGCGACCACCTGGTGCTTGGTGCAGCTCTGAGTCAGCATGTGCCCCGAGTTAGAAGCATCCTCTGAGTGCTTGGATGGAATTCAACAGTGGTCATTTCAGCAATGAGGCTAATTTAGGCTGCTCTCTGCAGCCCTGGGCAAGTCATTGTGAATTATAGGTGCACAAGTGGAGAGAAATGCCTGTAAATCACTAATCATTGCTGATGACTTCACCCAATACTAGTGAAGACACTGTAGCTTCTCCCTGTTTTCAAACTTGGATTTGGTGGATCTGTAATGCTTGGTTTTCCTGCCCCTGGTGTTGAGTCAGACAGTGCAAGTTGCATGGCAGATAACCGTTGAGCATCCACCTACTCTAAATTCAGTAACCGAAGAACCTCAGCTTTGTAGGAAGTCTTCCAGACTCACCCTCTCCTGAAGCTGTTGGAGTGGCTCTTCCAGAGCCGATGAGAGTCCTCTTGCTTTTCCCGCCTGCCCTGGCTGTGGGCCTGTCCAGCCAGGCTGTGCCTGCAGTTGTACAATAATCTCTCATCCTTTCTTGCTTCCTATTCCCCTGCCCAACCCCTTTTGTTTTTCAGCAGTCATCTACTTCCAGTGGTAGCGTGTTTGGGTCTGGAAATGCTACAAGAGGGGGTGGTTTCTTCAGTGGCCTTGGAGGAAAACCCAGCCAGGATGCTGCCAACAAAAACCCATTCAGCTCAGCCAGTGGGGGCTTTGGATCTACAGCTACCCAAAGTAAGTTGAGAAGAGTTTTTCCAGCTCCTTGATCCTCTGATGTCACTGTCATTCTCTGTATTGTCAAAGCTTCAGAAACAAATACAGAAAGGGGTGAAGCTAGAGAAGTTCTGTTCCCACACTGCTCTGCTTTGGGGTATATTTTTGTTTTAATAAGATGTCCTCTATCCATGAAAGGACAGCAGAGATTTGGGGACAGAGGAGTATGACAGGCTGCTTCTGTCTTCTCTCCCAAGGCCAAGCTCACTCTGTTTCCTACCCTGAGGAGGTTGCCTGAAGGCAGTGTGGCAGACAGCAGCCATGAGCCCCCACACGAGCACAGGGCTTCCGCTTAGCTGGCTCCTCTACACTGAAGGACACTAGTGTGGGCTCGGGCCTGCGTGGTTCTCATCACTTTCCTCTGCTGCTGTTTGCCCTGAAGCTGGACTCCCTAGCACTTTGTTCTCCAGCTGATTTCTCATGTCCTGCGTTGATCTGTCTGTCACGGTTGGAAGTGGAAGATGCTGTATAGTGCTGCTGTGGATGGGAGTTGTATTCTTGCCATCCTCGCCTTACCTGCTTCCACTTAAGCGCCATATTGAGCTGTCCGTGATACTAATGAATGTAGCGCTTGCATCTCTCGGCTGTTTTTATCATATTAAGGCCTGTGTGTGGCATGAAGAGCAGTGTTTTCTGTCCCAGCTTTGCTCTTCTGGCTGTCTAGATCAAGAACTGGTTGTCCTGCTGTCTCTGCTCTGGTAGTATGTGTCAGGATTGCTCGTCCGGGCACTTCCCTCCTAGGTCACAAGGCTCTGCCAGGAGGGATTTAGAACCTACAGTGAAGAGATCTCAGAAATCATATTTGCAAAAACTGTTCTGCAGGCAAATAGAATCCTGATAAGCAAAACAAAAATAGGTTCATGCCAAGGCTGAAAGTCCTGGTGTAAGGGAAATGTTTGACCACCTGTGCCCTGGGGCTGAGAGGCTATGTGCAGCGAGTGAATGCTGTAGAAGCACTGTCCTTTCAGATGAAAGTGAGAAAACAACAGACATGGCACTCACATGTAACATGCTAAACACAGCAATCAGCATCACTTGTCATGCTGGTTAGAAATTGGGGTGGATCCCAAATGTAGGTCGTCATGTATGAGGCCGTGTTATTTACCAGCCAGTTTTTTTAATGGCTTAGATGTGTCATATCCCTGTAAGCATCCACACTAATTCATCTCTGACACCATGGCTTTTGCTTGTCAGCTGCCTTTCTCCCAGAGGTCAGTCTGAGCTAGTGTGCACTAGCGCATGGGAGTCAACTTTGCACATCCCTCCCTGTGCCAACATTAAGTATCTGAAGTCAGCTGAAACACTGTTGACCCAATGGGAGTGAGCATACCACGACTCTCCTCTCCGTCGATGGTTGTTAAACAGCCTGGATGCCAGACACCTAGTGGTCTTAATGGGTTTTTTTATGATTTCATAATGGAAGGATCAGGATCTGGTTAAACCCTATGACCAAGTTAAGTGCAGGCCAAGTGAGAGGCAGGAGCTGGAACAGCTGAGCTGCACCTTCTGCAGTCTCCAGTGACTGCGACTCTGGCCTCCCATGCTCGTGAGCACTGCTGTTCTCCTGGCTAAATTCCATGTGTTTCCTAACCACCTCTCACATAGGCCTTCCCCGTCTCCACCTCCAGTCATCTTTGCCATGGTCGGAAAATCCATCTCAAATCAAAAATTTTTTTTTTTAAGATTTATTTTTGTTTATATGAGTACACTGCAGCTGTCTTCAGACACACACTAGAAGAGTGTATTGGATCCCATTACAGATGGTTGTGAGCCACCATGTGGGTGCTGGGAATTGAACTCGGAACCTCTGGAAGAACAGTCAGTGCTCTTAACCACTGAGCCATCTCTCCAGCCCTCACATATTCTTAAGCTGCTTTTCTTTTGCCACAGTTCCGATGCAGGACTCCTTGCGGCTTCCTACCAACAGTAGGGTAGAGTTTAAGCTCACTTCATTCTAGAGTCCAGGCTGCAAGAAAGCTGGCCATGACCAAGACAGTCTGAGAAGACTGTAGCAGGAGAATGATGGGTTTCCTTTTGAGAAGTCTTGTCATCTCCCAGCCAAAGTCAAGCTGTTAGACTCTAAAGTCATTTGAGACTCAGCACCGTGTGTACATTGTCACCCATAAGGACCTGTTGTCAAGTGTCATTCTGACACTGAGTTATCATTGTCCTATACATGCTGTTTCTCTTCAAGGATGTGTTGGGATGGGAAGGTCATCCTCCCATGACTCCCTCCATGGCTGTTCCTGAGGAAGCTCCTCTGGAGAGGAGCCTGGCTTGGGCTCTAGGGAGCCCCTCTGAGTGCATCAGGCCTGCAGAAAGCTGGAACCTGAACTCTCTAACACTCTTTATGTCAGATGTGGAGTGAGTCACATCTTGATGCTGGATGTTGGTGGTGGTTTTGCCAAGTACAAAACTACAGGGGCCCTATATAATGAAAGTCCAGAGCAGGTGCTAGTTTTACTCATCTCTGCTACCCCAAAGTATTAGTCTTTGGTTGGCTCCACAAAGAGTAGTTGGTGACTGGCTGATTCCTACATACGTGAAAAATCTTCTACTATGAAGCACACTCCGTCCACCAAGATATTTACTTAGCATGGTTTTTTTGTTGTTTTTTGTTTGGTTTTTTTTTTTGAGACAGGGTTTCTCTGTGTAGTCCTAGCTGTCCTGGAACTCACTCTGTAGACCAGGCTGGCCAAGAACTCAGAAATCCGCCTGCCTCTGCCTCCCAAGTGCTGGGATTAAAGGTGTGTGTCACCACCGCCTGGCTGTACTTAGCATGTTTTTAAAAGCTGGGCCAGCAGCCAGTTGTGTTGGCTCCTGCCTTTAATCCTCAAGACAAGTGGATCTGAGTTCAAGGCTAATCAGGGCCACACAGTGAGACTCTGGTCATAAAAGTAAAATAAAGTAAATCTAGGCCAGTGAGATGGTTCTGGGAGTGAAGGCACATGCCACCAAGGCCAGCATCCTGACTTTGTTACCTAGAACCACGGGTGGGAAGAATGAACTGACCACAAGGTGTATGCTGTAGCACAGTCAGTCAGTCAGGCTACAGACTACTAGCATGGCCATTAGAGACCCAAGAAACATTGTTGGCCATAAAAATGGGGAGACGCAGATGATCCTCTCTGCCTCCTTCCAGAGCAGCTGGGTTGAATGGTGGGACTGCCTGCTGCTGTTCTTCCTCTCCTGAGCACCTGCTGTCTGTTGTTCACTGTGAGGGCCGCAGGATGTCAGGGAACTGTGACCTAGGGTAGCTGAGTCCTTACTTGTGGTCACAGAGCTATCCAGTAATTAGCCTAGGCCTGGCTGCAAACCTCAGTCTGTTCCACTGTAATGTGGGGCAAATGGATCTTTGTTTTTAGCTGATTATGTGAAAATGTGCATACCGATGGGGTATTGTGTGATGCTTGTGTATACACTATATATGTATATGTCTACACATGTGTTCACATCCAAGGAAAATGTTTTTCAAACATTGACCATTTCTTCATGGTGAAAACATTTAAAAAATACGTCTAGCTTTAAAAAAATAAATAATCTGCACACCATTACCCAGAGCAGCTTCTCCCTGCCTTGTCATGGGTATAAACAAATTTCAACAAAATATAGTCAACCAAACGCTGTAAGGATGTGGGGGTTATTCCTGGCCCCACTTTTCTCCCCCTTAGGTCAGAGAACGGTGGCAGGGCTCTGCACAACCCAGGCAGCAGCTGGCATGCTGGCAGCCCCGTGGTGGCCCAGACTCTGCTCTGACTCTGATTCTTGTAGATTGACATGAGAGAGATGCAATCTAGCCTTGTTGTATAGAAGTCTAAGCACAGAGACAAGCAACTGATCGCCCTTGGTGGGTGGACCAAGACCTCTGGGAGGGCTGCTGGGAGGGCTGCTGGGAGGCCTCTGTTACCCTTTAGTTCTCTCTGTAGAGCTACGCCAGGAAGGCCTGCTCATGAGTGCCAGTGATTTCAGACTCATCATCTGGAGCTCCCCTGGATGCTGG